TCCCTTTCCTTTCCTTTCCTTTCCTTTCCTTCCTTCTCCCTTCCTTTCCTTCCTTCTCCCTTCCTTCCCTTTCCCTTCCCCTCCCTCACCGTCTGAGACAGGCGGCCATCGCCCCTGGGGAGCAGACCTCGAGCCTCTCGGCTAAAGCTCAAGGGGTCCACGGTCCTCGCTGCCATCGCTTGGCCCAGTCACCGCGTGGCGATCTTCCCGGGCGTGATCGCGATGGGCGGCGCACCCAGATGGCGGTTGGAGGCATTGGGCCACGGAGTGCTGAGGCGTGAGGTGCCGGGGTAGGGCACACAGAGTGGCAAGTGAACAAGCCGCAGATCTTTCAGCTCGTTTTCTGCCCTCCTCCGCAGTCGTGACGGCTCCGCGTCTTGTTGAGGCTTGCTGCTTCCGCAGTTGCTGCTGTTGGTGATGCTGCTGCCTGGGACTTGGCTGCGCACTCTGAGTGGACCTGTTGGGCCTCGTGTGCGCTTCAGGATGGCAAACCTGCCGCCAATGGCGTGTCTCCAGGACTGCAAGCATTCGGCAAGCTGGTGCTGGCTTTGGAGCGACTTTGGGAAGTGTGCTGTTCCATCTGTAAAGAGCTGCGCACGTAACGTCCATAAAAGCCTCCCACAATTAATTCTGACCGGCAAGGGAGAGATGGGTAGCAACAGTATCACCAGGGGCCGACGGAGATGTTGGCTTTGTAGTTCCTTGTAAACCGTCGGGCAAGGATCGTTTGAGGGCTTGCCAGGAGCTGTGGGTAAGCCTGAGCGGCCAGCTGGCAGGCCAGGATCTGGTGAGTCGGTCGGCGTCTTGTTGGGTCCTTGCAGGTCGAAAGGCCCGAAGGATGCGAAGGACGGGCCGAGGGGCCGGCGACCTCGGGAGCGCGCAGCTGCCCTAGGCGCGTTTTGTTGCCGGAGCGCCGGAGGTGACATTCCGTGGGGCGGTTCTCGAGCGCTGTGGACCAAGGCAAGCACGGGCGGACAAAGTGATCCTGAAACACCAAGGGTTCATGCCTGAGCTGATGCCTGCAGCATGACACTTGTCACTTCCCGCTTCAGCAAGGTGCCTGCGGTGGCAAGCTGGGCCCTCGGACGTTGCCGGTCGGCAGTGCCCAAGGACTCTTTCTGAAATGCTGCGCGCAGCCAGCTGGCTCTAGATGAGACAGCAGGGGGGGGAGGTTTAATTCAGTTCAGCATTGTTTCGTGCTGGGAGGAAGCAGCACATTCTGCATGATTACCACTTTTCTGAAGCAAAGTGCTGCGCTCCAATGGATGGCATGCGTGCCCGTGCAGCCTGCTTGGCTGTTGGCTTTCCAAGCGACTTGGTGGTGGTCGTGCCTGCGAACTGAGCGATCAAACCAGCAAGCACGAAAAGGAAACGGCAGAGATGTGTCCCGTTATCCAGATTTGGGCATAGGTCATTGGAAGACTGTTCCCCCCAGCTCACTGCGCCCCTTGGAACAAAGGCTCCAAGCCCCGGACGTCTGCAGACGAGGGCTGTGCTGCCTGTACATTCTGATGGAGTAAGTTGAAGCTTGGCTCCAAATTGAGAGTTGAATGTGGCCTCCAAGTTGGTCGTTTCAAATGGAGTGAGTGCTCACTTAACTTATCCTGGAGTGCAGACATCGGGACAGGTCAGGCGCCCTAGCATGCAGCGCCATGAGTCACTTGGCAGCTGAGGCAAGGGGGGATCCGTCAGCCCGCGCTCATGCTGCTTATTGGCAGGCGCGGTCGGAGCTTGCGGAGACAGGTTTCCCAGAGTTGGCTTGCCGGTTTTCGAGCGAGCCCGGCGCTTAGGTGCCCTGTTGGGCTGCAAGTGCAAAAGGAGCAGGCGCAGCAATTGCGCACGGCGGGGCGAGGCGGTAGGCCAGACCCAGTCAATCGTGGAGGACGGCTGATTCGGAACAGTCACCATGTCGCATGCCAATCTGCCAGCTATACCGGATGAAATGCAGGCAGGTATTTCAGGGCATGCATCAAGGACTTTTGTGCAACTTGGAGTGTGGCAGGAGGAGACGGAGGGAGACTATTGCACGGTGGCGTGGGATGATACAGAGGAATGGGCCCGACTTGGGCCCGACGCCAACAGGAGATTTAGAGATGCATTCCTGGCAGTGCCTTGGCCTGCAAACACAGCAAGGTGGCCTTAGGCCTGCAGCTGAGTCAGGTGGTATCCTATGTCCTGCCAGTTGTGGGACCAGCAATTGGGCCACTTGGCGTGCGCACGCGCATTTGGAAATCCTGCTCGCGGGCAGGGTGCTCAAGCCTGTGACTGTGATTCCTTGAGGTTTTGGCAATGGAAGAATATCCTGTCCGTGCAGCTTGGCGGAAGCGCGGAAGCTAGAGTGGCTGTAGTTGGCTTCTCGTGCTGTTGCCTGGCTTTGGCATTTGGCAGAATGGCCAACTGTTATGGGCCAATACCCATGCAGAAAATACATACCCGTTATGTGTATATGGCTGTGGCTCAAAAACATGTACCAAAATGGCACCTTGGTAAATGAAACCGA